ATATTAATATATAATATATGTATATATTAATATATATGGCTTATCCGGCCTATATATATGTGTGTATGTATGTATGTATGTATAATTTCGCTTAATTATATATTTTTATAGTTTATTGTAGGTAAACATGAATATGGGGCATATTACAAATAAATTAGTCACCGGGCTTATCACAAATAAATTAGTCACCGACATTATTATTTGCTTGGTAGGGTTTTTTTTATTACGGAGTACCTTACACTAATCTATGGAAATGTGTATTTAATTCGTGTTCTGCCCGAAGACAGGTCCATGGTGTGCGAGCATTACAAATCAATAATTTGCTTTCCTTTTCATGTTTATATATATATATATATATATATATATATATATATACAGGAATACCCCGTTTAACGCGGGGATACGTTCCATCAAAGTAGAGCGCAATGCGAAACAGCGCTAAACGAGGCTATCTTTACATGGAAATATTGAGGTTAGGGGAAGACGGCTAGGAAATTGGCTTGGTATTGAATTTAAAAAGCATGTTATTTTTACTAAAAGTGAATTAATACCACATCATTATTTTTTGCAAAAATAAAGACAAAATATAAATGACAAAACGAATATTCTTGAAAAAAAAAAAACAAATAACATTCTAAGTCAGTCATATTTAGTTAGCCTTCCGCGTTCTCTTCTCTTTTTCTTTTGTGTTGTTCTCTTAAAAGTTCATCATAAACGGATAGAGTATCTCTAACACCACACCTTACTTTAGATGTCCTGTCAAAATTCGGATCATTTTTAATGAATTGATAGATTACTTCAGTTACGGTAAACAAACTCCTTTTTACAAACACCATTCAAAGTTTTTTTTTTTTTTTCGCTGAATCACTACTGTTAACATTTTTGTTTTCTTCTCGTTCAATTCATTCCTTGAGATCACCATTAGAAAGACTGCGCTGCTTCTTGAATTATTTCTTCGACATCTTCTTCATTTACCCCTTCAAAATCTGGGTTGAAATAAAAAAGCGCTAAACCGAAACAGCACTAAACGATACGGCGTTAAACGGGGTATTACTGTATATATAATATATAGTATATATAAAACCTGATGATGGAACGTACCTAGTTCCGAAACGTCGTATTAAACATCTTCAAAAAACAAATTGTTTTTTATTATTGGATTTACTGTTCGGAAAAGAAACAATCAATATATTGAAAAAATCCAGGACTTATCTATTGAATATATATATATATATATATATATATATATATATATATTAGGGTAGTCCTTAATATGGATATTTTTGATTTTTTTTACTTATAGAAGCTCAAATGCTTCCAAATTAATAAAAAAAATATCTGAAAGTTTTAGCTCTTAATATTAACTTTAAAAGTCCGCACTCCAACCAAAGTTTCTTTGTTCTTCTTGCTAAGTAAACACTTCATAAAATATATCAAATTTTTGTTGTAATTTTTAACTTCCCGTATGGTAAGTTATTGTAATGGGCCGAAAATCGGAATTGAAAATTTTTCGACGTTTTGAAGGTTTCTGAACATTTTGGCATACCTCAGAAAAATGGATGTGTGTGTGTGTATGTATGTATGGATACAAATTTCCAGTCACGTTTCCGGGCGCACGGATCAACCGATTTGAATGGTTCAAAAAACATTCGATTCCTATCGATAGGGAAAAGAGCTGATTAGTTTTTGGCAAAGGCAGGTCCAGCCGTTTCGAGGATACGGAGCAAAGAGTGCAGAAAATAGAAATCGACTTTTGAGAGAACGGAGTATCCGATTTGAATGATCTAAAAAACATTCAATTAGGAATGATTGGGAGAAGTGTTTATTAGATTTTGGCAAAGGCAGGCCCAGCCATTTCGAAGATACGGAGCTAAATATGTAAAAAATGGCAGTTTTTGGGAGAACTAAGCGTCCGATTTGAATGATTCAAAGAATTTTCTTTGCTTGTCTTACCCAAATAATTGATTCTGGAAAAAAAAATTTGTTTCAATTTTTTTTTTTTTTTTTAATTTTTTGTGTATCGAAAATAATTCAGATTTTATTTTCAATTCTGACTATAGTTCTAATATACTTTAAACAAATAATTTCAACTTTGCAATTCAGTTTATATAATTCTTATAAATATTAGACAATGTTACAATATTTATAATAATCTATTCGAAA